TGTGCCGCTGCAGAAAAACTCCCATGGGATCCTCCTGGTGCGAGATTTCTTTCCTCTGGGGCATTCACAGCAGTCTAATTACTGAGCTGGGCGGGGGGGCTGCAGGTGCCTCCCTCCCCATTTACTGGATTTGCTAATCTAAAACCCAGGGCTTTAGAAATGGAGTGGATCCTGGCTGGCTTAGCTTGTTTCTCTGCCCCTCTCTTCACAGGATTTGACCTGCTGTGGCAGAGGGCAGGGGAAATGGTTTAGTTTTTTTTCTTTAATTGAACTCTGGTTGTCTAAGCAGGCTCATCAATACGGTTTGAAACTCGCCCTGCCTTCCCCTCGAGGTCTTGCACTCTGTCCCGCATCACCGCTCTGCATCTTCACCCGGTTTGTGCTATTTTTGCTCACTTCCACCTGAGACTCTTCAATCTGATAATCTCCTAATCTCCAGCTCCTAGCAATTAATCTGCAGTTGCCTTTGCTTTATACCTGTCTTACGTCTTGGGAGTTGTCTTCAAAACAGCTTCTGACCTTGTTGGCTAATGCATGTTAAGAAATAGTCCTGCGTAGCTACAGGAGTCTTCTCGTTCTCCACATTCTTGTTATTGCCTGCACTGGGGAGAGACATCCCTATTAGAAGTTGCTGCTGTTGCATCAGTTTCTTATATAGCATCCTCCTGATTTCTACCCATTTTCATGACCAGATTTTGAGTTCTTTCTTACCCCAGGTGCTCTCTGCTTTCCTTTGTGGGCTCTTAAAGCCTTAAAATAGGAGCTGCCTGATCTGAGCTTAGACGCTCTGATGAGCACCGCAGAAATACCTGTAATGCCTGTGAGAGGGGACACGCACTTCCTCCTGGTTGCAGAGAAGGGATCTTGAAAGGAGCCCAACAAGGAGTGCTAACCCTATTGCCCGTGAACTCCTCTTGAAAAATCGTGCCTGGTGGGGTGGTTGCAAGGGAAATCTGAAAATATAGGACCGACTTTTAGCTTTCTCTGATGAGGATCAAACGCCTAATCTCATCCATTGGATAACTGAAATAACAGGGAGAGGGCAGGAGGAGAAAGCGCCTTCATCAGCTTTCTTCTTTTATTACCTGGCGTTGTATTATCCCTTACCTTTTGTGCTCCTTTGTAACACCAGCTTGCTAAAATACACGGCTGGAACTATGCACCAGGGCTCACAGTGTGCCATTGTTCACAAGAGAATAGGCAGTGCCTGCTGTCGTTGTCTGGGCTGTTTTGACGGTTTCTTTTGCAGTCTTGGTTGGTTTTGGGAAGGCAGGAAGGTTTCCTGGGTGAGAACTGGCTCTTCTCTGGATTGGACAGCAGAGGTAGCACCTCAGAACTGTAAATAGAGAATGAGCATCCACTGTTCCTGATAACAAAGCTAGAGACCTCTTAATGAATGCCTTGCTACAGATGCTGTTTGGGGTTTGGGTTTGGTTTTTATTTTTGAGTCACTTTTTCATACAAAGGGAATAGGAGAATTCATGAAGGAATCCGTTGGGTCTGGCTCAGGAAGTCCATCACCTCTCCTGCTTCCTGAAACCGCCACAGTGTTGCCAGTTGTGCTTCCAAACTCTTCAAACCCATAGCAGCTCTTATGATAGAAAATGTGTCTAATAGCGGGGAGTTGCAGCTCTTTGGGCGTGATACAAAGATTATGGGAAAGAAGATCCAGAGGCACCAGTAGGAATGTGTGAGTGAGAAGTAGCTGCTAATACCAGGCTTGGGCAAGTTGCAAGGGTTTGCTCTTTGCTTTGAGAACAACTTCAACTCAGTGAACTCTTTCCAGGAAGAGTTTGGGTCTGGAGGTCTGGGATATGGCAACTCACCGGGCGTTAGGAAGGAGGAGGAAATGCCCCTCTTCTGTGACCTGTTTTTGCACTGCTTCATGTGGGTACTTCAGGACAAAAGCCAATCTGTCGGGATTCCTAAGACGTGCTGGTGTGTCCTTCATCCCTTGTTCAGAGCATGCTTTCTGTCAGCCCCAAATCAGGTGAGTGCTGAAGGCTTGTTCAGGCAGGTACCATGATTAGTTGGTTATTAACGGTGAAACAACACAACCTGCTTCAGGGGAAGAAATGAGAAAATGTTCTGTCCTGAGAGACCAAGCCTACCTTTCTTGTAATGATCCACTTCACTCAATGGAGATTCGAGCACTATTTGTGTCTAACTAAAATAGACACAGATGCTAGTTCGACACAGTTATGTCTAACCAAAGTAGACATGGTTGCTGCCTCCATTCCCCAAATTGTGGTGTTGGTGAATTAGGATAATGAAAGCAGATGATGTGTTTAAGTGCGTCACGGAAGTGTGGGCAACTGGGCCCTACAGTAATTTAAAAATAAGTATGTATGGGATGAGATTAGCAAATCTGAGACTGCTCAGCTAAGCAGAAGTGTCTGCCAATTGCAAGCAGCCCATTCCCAATAAGACCTTCCAGTGTAGCTGTGGGCTTCTGTTACGTGGTGGTGGGGAAAAACTAGCACGTGGCTACTTTGGTTGATTTTTTTGAACAGGAATTGCAGCAAGCAAATTTAATACAGCCTGAGAGGAATATATATATATATATATATATATATATACCCCCACACCCACACCCTCCCTTTTTTTTTTCCTGCTAGGAGACTGGGCACTCCAGGAGAGGAAAAACCACTTGATTGCAGTACTCTGGCAGCTAATGTTCCCAGATGCCACCCAGTTAGATACTGGCATGTTGATTTAAAAAAAAAAAAGTTTAAAATATTGTCACTGCAAAAAGAGTTGGAAAATATAGCGCAGGGGTGTAAACATCAATGAGCAGGAGCCTGGTGGGGATTCTGCCCAGGGTTTACTCCTCTTCAGTGGCTCTGCTTTGCTCTCGGCTCCTCCAAATGAGTCATGGACACTGTTACTGCAGCAACGCTGCTGCCAAGGAGGGGGATAAAGCTGTTGCCATGGTGCTGGATGGGCAGGAATTCTGCAGGAGGAAAAACACTTAATAATTAACTTGCAGACAAACGCAGCTTCAGACTTTGCCTGCATGCTCTAGGGAAGGTGTCCCGGGCTCCCAGGCGACTGACAGCCTGTCCTGGTACAGCCCCATGCCTTCGTGGTCCGAGCATGGCCGCTGGCCGAGGGAGGCGAAGCCAGGATTGTGGGAAGCTGCGCCTGCTTCTGTCAATTTGTGTTTTGTGTGCGGCTGCTTGGAGAGGGGAAGTTGTGGGATGAGTTAAGAATTTGGGCTGGCTGATATGTTAGAACCTAAAATCATCATGTGATTGCGCGACATCTACCTGAGGATGGCTAAAACATTGGGGCTTAAGGCGAGGGGTTGATTTAAATTTCTGTCCCATCTCCTCAGCTACTGTTAAAGACAGAAAAGAAGACTTTGTGCAGTTCTTAGGCTATTTTGTCTAACAGCAGGCTTGCACTTTTCTCATGGTAGTAAAAAGGTTGAGCTTTTATCTTGTTCTTCCTGATAGTGTGGGTACTGGTGTTAGTTTTCCTTTGTGCTGTGTTGATAGGAAAGGGAAACCTCCCTTCCAAATGCCAGAGATGCTTCAAACACAGTCCTCTCTCTTAAAGCCCATTCCTTTGAGCATTCCCTGTCCAGTGACAACGGTAAAACTGCCCAGAGAGTACGTTTAACACCTCTGTTCCTTGTACCACTGAGCACTTGGGACAGTTTTCCAAGCTAAGATGATTTGCAAAGAAAAAAAGGCTTCTAGGAAAGTACAGGTGCTCGATGTGCAGGTCGTGCTCAGCAGCACCTAGGAGCAATCTTCCACAGTGCTGACTACAGCTGGCTTTGTCCCTCGTTACGGAGGGGCCTGATTTCTGTAATTACAGATCCCAGCATGAGAGCCTTTTGCTGTCTGGTAGTTGCAATGCGTGGCATTTGGGATGTTCTCTTACTCTACCACAGCAATTAACTCCTTACCTATGGGATATGCTAACCACTGCCCGTGAACCATAACCCCCAACCGTACTGTAGGTACCTGATTTGTTGTATCAACACTGAAGCAGGGGTTGTAACGGGCAGGTATGATCTCTGAGTACACTGTTTTCATATATTCTATCAATAAGCCTTAGCTGGCCGGCTGTGTTTGAATTTTAGAAACAGGAAAGCAGAGAGCTTAAAATTAAAATGTTAAAGTATTACTTTCACCTTAGAACCTCCAAAAAGAGTCTCCTGCAACATGCAGATGCATGGTTGGTCAAAAGCTAACCTGGCTTGTATACATACAGCATTTATTTAGATTTATCAGCATAAAGTAAGACTGCTTTCAGTCTGTGCTTACACGTGCAGTGAAAAGGAAGCACCGCCGCTCTTTCCAAAGAGGAGGCCCACAGCTGGGCCAGGAGCTGCCTGGAGGCACAGCAAAGCTGAAGCCAGAGACAATGGCTTTCTCCCAAAGATACTATGGTGGAAGCAGGAAAGGTCTCTGTTCCCAGACTGTTCTCTAATACAGGGAAAGGCTTCAACACCATTTTCAGTGCTGAGGAAAAAAACTTCTTGCATGGGACAAGCATTGGTGGAGAGAAGAGGCCATTGTTTGTCTGCAGAGGGCTGGAGATAGGGGAGGTGGCACAAGGGAGGACACTCCTGTTCCAGTTAAGTGCAGTCGGCTTAGGGCTCACAAAGCTGCTTAGCAGTTGCATTTTGCCAAAGGGCAGTTTTTAAAACAGGCAAAGCCTCTTACACTGGAAAGGCTAGGATTTGGTGGAGGTGCTGACTATTCTCAATACCCCAAGAGGAAATGGATGCAGAAGATCCTGGCACAGGGTTGGAAAAAGGTGATGACCTCTGAGTGTTGCAGGAGAGAAGCCTTTTCCCTGTCCTGTGCAAACAGGGCAGTGGGAGCATTCAGTACTGGGACTATTTTCAAAGACATCAGTTTGGAATTAAAACCAGGGTGGTAGTGGAGCTGCATTTGGGCTGCTTTCACTGCCAGTCGTGATCTCCAAAGCATAACCAGAAATACCTGGTAATTCTGGGCAGCCTTCATTTAAATTTGCTTTCCTCTGCAGATTATTTGTGCACTCCAGAGGAAAATGTTTACAAGATAGACTTCACCAGGTTCAAAATCCGGGACATGGAATCTGGCACAGTCTTGTTTGAAATCACCAAACCAGCAGCTTCAGGTGAGTGCACATACAAAACACTGTTTTCACAAACAAATGCCGGTGTCTGCTTCCTTTTGCCTCTTCCCACTCCTTTGACTCAATGCATTTCCCCAAAATAGGAGATGCTCTCAATTGCAAGAGAGCTGGAGTCCCAGCTTGCAGCAGAAATACTATTCAGGTGTCCCTCTGTACCAACACTGTCAACAGAACTTGTTGCTGCTGTATTCTTATGATTGCCATCTGCGATGAGAAAGGACAGATGGATGTTGTAAACAGAAGCAAAGGAGGAGGAGGAGGAGGTCACCATGTGTTCGTTCATCAGCTCGAGTCCCCCTGTGCATAGTTTGACTGTTACTCTAACGTTTTTCACTCAGGAGTCAGGAAAGTGGTATTTCCAAAAGGGACAAACTTTGACAATTGTGCAGATTAGACAAACTGAAAACTTGCATTTTTTTTTCCCTTCATAATTTTTAGGTGTTACTTGTAACCATCAAAGTGTTACCTGTTGCCAGTGGTAATAAAACCCCAGGGCAGCTGTTCTTTGCCTGCTCGAGCACTCTTTTAAAATCTTCCCCATCTCCCTGCAGGTGAGAGGAAGTTTTCTGTAGTTCAGAGGTGGCAACCTAGATGTGCTAAGGTGAAATGGCTTGTTCAGAGTCGCGCTGCCATCCTGAGTGGGAGGTAGGTGCAGTAAGTCACTTCAGAGGGCAAGGAGTGTATCAAACCAAAGGGCCATCCAGCAAGACTCTGTCCGAGTGACCGGTAGTGGATGCTTAGAGAGGATGGGAAGAGGGCAAGCACGTCATCAGGCTGCCTCAGAACTGTTTCTTGGCTTATATGACTCAATAATGTACGCCTGCAAGTATTTTTCACTGGCTTTCTGTTTCTCAGATGACTGTGACAGAGCTTTACTTTGCGCTTTTCCAGAACGTGAACACAATGACAAGAAGGACATTGACCCCAATGCTGGACGCTTCGTACGTTATCAGTTCACCCCAGCTTTTCTTAGACTTCGGCAAGTGGGAGCCACGTAAGTAATTGCTCCTGTGCTACTTTTTCTAGTACAGGAAACAACTGAAATCTTAAAAAAAAGTGGCTCTTGCTTGTTGATCCCATCAGGAAGTTGATTTAATAGGGATCATTTGTTATTATGAGGATCTCCAAACATCTTTGCTGGATGCCTCCTTCCCTTTAGCTTGTTTATTTACCTCAGGCGTAGGCATGGGGTTGATGAGATTAATACTAAAAGGGGCAAAATAGGATGGACAGACTACCCAGATATTCCAACTTTTTTTCTGCACATCTGAGTTTGTTTGTCGGAGGCTCTGCCAGCTTTGGAAGATGTGCCTGCAGCCTTCCACATTGCATTCCCCCAAGAAACATTAATCCATAGATGCACGTGAAATGGTGAAGTAATGTTTGATGCTTTCTGTACCAGAACGATCTTTGCATCTCTGGTAGTACTGCTTGCATCCATCAATAAACCTCACCAAAACATGACACCAAAAGTATCTTTCTGTAAAGCTTTAGGCCGAAGTTATTGCTACTGTGATACAGGTGAGAGAGCGTATTGTTTCCTTAGTAAAAGTTAGTAGTGGTTACTACTAATCACACTGTTACTACTAACTCACTACTAACTCTACTACTCACTCCAGTGAGTGATCTAGTGAAGTGCCTATCCAGTGTAGCTGGAGGGATCTTTTCTTCACTGAAGAGGAGTTTAAGATTGTAAAATTGTCTTGCATGTCTTTTTTTTTTAATTGAGTAAAAAGAATCAAAATCTAATATAATCTATGATTCGTAGCGCTATGTTGTGTCCCTGCAGCAGACCTTTAAGAGGAAACGATAATTTGGTTAGCACCATTGCTTTAGATTTTTGGCTTTTTTTAGAAGAGGTCTCTTCCACCTTTCAGGAATGGTTGAAAACCTTACGTAAGGAAGAAAGCTCATTTCAATCTTATCCTTCTTTTTCAGGGTGGAATTCACAGTAGGGGACAAACCCATTAATAACTTCCGCATGATTGAGAGGCACTACTTCCGGGATCAGTTGCTTAAGAGTTTTGATTTTGAATTCGGGTTCTGCATCCCCAGTAGTAAAAATACTTGCGAGCACATCTATGAATTTCCACAGCTCTCGGAGGATCTCAGTAAGTGCTCTTTAATTGCTGGGTTACCACATAGCGATGTTAATCTAAGGTGTTTTGAGGAAGCCCTTCTACAGGGCTGTAGAGAGTGGGTAGGGCAGAATAATTCCAGGTCGTTTTGTATCTGTATTAATACAGATTTTGCTTTCTAGTAGCGTGTATCTTGTCACCCACCAGGCAGTTGCTTTTTTTCTTTTTTTTTTTTTTTTAAATGCATAAAAGGGAAGCTTCGGTGTCAGGGAGAAAAAAGATAATTGTGTTAGAAACCAACCAGGAAACTAGGATTAAAAAGACATCCAATAAATGGGTGACTCAAATGTTACGTTCTGTTTGATGTGCTGTGTTGATAGCTTGAGAGGTTTTAGTTTTACTATGGACGTAACTTTTATTGTCTCTCCTCTCTCCCAAGACACGATAGCATCAGTACTAAATCTGTGTGACCTTGTATTCTTTACAACCCCTAATCATGTATGTCAGCACTAATATTACAGTCTGTGGAAAGTACAGTGATGCACTCCTGCATTTTTATTGTCACACCCACACAAATTTTTTTCGAGTTTGCTGGTTTATCAGTTTTTAAAACACACAACAGAAATAGCCCCAAACTCTAGTGTGACACTGTTTTGAGGCTAGGTTGAACACTTACACCTTGTATGGTGCCTTGACACATTTGGATTGTGTTTGAGTTCTTTAAAAGACACAGTCAACGAATGGTTTGGGTAGGTTCCTGTTTTGGTTTTTCACTTGAGACTTTGCTGCCATCTGAGCAGTGCTATTAAATGTCATCTGAAACCCAGTGCAGAGTGTTGGTTACCTCAGCAGGGCTCCTGTGTAGCATGATTAATTTTTTTTTTTTTTTTCTTCTCCCCCCCCCGCAGTTCGAGAGATGATCCTTCATCCATACGAGACACAGTCGGACAGTTTCTACTTTGTAGACAACAAGCTCGTGATGCACAACAAGGCAGATTATTCATACAGTGGAGGACCTTGAGCACGGGATGGACAGCCGACCTGCGCTGGCCTTCCCCTTCCTATTGAAGTCGTCAGGGATACCAACACCTTCAGTTCAGTTGCCCGCAGCGTCCACTGGACAGGAATCCACAAACCAAGGACTCTTTGCCACAGTAGGAGTTTCATGACTAAATTTGCTGGTCTCATTTTTTTGAGCTTTGAAGCAGACCCAGGTCTTCAGAACTTTAAGCAGCTCTACAATGCTAAATGATCTTTGGATACCACTTCCCTAAGTTCTTTAAGTGTCTGCTTTGAAAATGGCCTTGTGGGACATGGGTGATTTTGCCCTAATTCTGCGGATTTGTGTTCTTGCCCTCAAGTATCTTTTAGGACACGATTGTTTTCTCAAAGAATGTAATCTGAGAAACCACGTGAGTGGATGGATGCAAACGCAGAGTTTTGTTTATTTGTTTCCCTTTGAGAATGCTTCAAAGGCATGGCCAATTTAACTTGCACATCCAGTTGAAAAGGCCGAGGATAACATCTTACAAAAGCAAGTTTCATCTTTAGTTTAGTTCTTTAAGTAAGTATCTCATCCTTTAGTTTTGTTCCTTCTATGTAATACTCTGTTTAATTTTGGAAACACTGAAACTCACAATGAAGACCAGTAATGAAATGACAGAGCTGTTTTTAATCAGGTACTGTCCTTTAACATTTCAGATGAAGGCAAAATAGCACTGAGGGTCTATGCATTTTCCATTAATTTCAGTTTTTGCAAACTGATTGCAGAATAATCAGGAAAAATTGAAGGATTTTAGCTTTATTTAACATTTTTACATAGTCAACATTCAGCCTATTCATGCTGTATGTTTTCCATGTCTATTTTCTTTCCTCTCTGCTCAATACTAAGGGCTTCAGCACTGCTTGTTAGAGCAACGCTTTCATTTGTCTAGGGCAGGTGGAGAGTGTGGAATTTCCAATTTTCCATTTGTATCTGAATTTGAAGAATGTTATGAAAGTGTTTTCCTTTTGTTAAAAATGTTTTGCATCGGATATTAATACAGGTAAAACAGTAAGTCTGATAATGTAGGACTTTAAGGCACAGCAAAAATTGAGCAAAAGCTCTCTCTTCAGACTCTGTAAGAAGTTTAAGACCAATTTTGCCCAAGTTTCTCAGCGTGTGCTTCTTGGAAAGATAGAAGTGCAAAGAAGTAGCAACATCAAAAGAGAAAACTCGTGTATGCAAAACAAAACCTGAATAGGCTGTGCGGGGTAGCCTGTTGTCATGAAACCCTTACTCTAAAGATCAGTTCACTGACACTTTAAAAAAATAAAAGGCAGTTGCAGTTTGTAGATATTTCTATAAATACTTGGTGTCTCCATGTCTAATTCTGTGAGTTTAAGTGGAACATTATATGTTAGCTGCAGATAGGTGTGATTGTAATAATTTTTATAAAATACCATTTCCAGTGGTGATTAACATCTCTCTGGTCATCCTAGGTCAAACAGAACTACAAATGGTTCCAAATGTAGCCATCAGCCTGAGAACAGGGAGGCTTTTGTGCTCTTATCGGGATTGTGATCACTATTAAATGTGTTACCATTTGTATTTGGCTTGGCTTGCTTTACTTCTGAAAGAGAATTCAGTTTTCTAAAGAAAATGCAGTGAGTTTAGGTTACAGCACAGAGTTCTTTATTAAGATTGATAGCTAAGAAAGTACGTAAAGCTTCACTGATTTTACACAACTGGTATCTTGTAGTAATTATTATCACAATGAGACTTGTATTTATCACTATTTTTGGTCTCTAGCATATGAAGTCATACAACTAGCCTATGGCTGACTTACCTGTTTGAGAGTTACAAAGAATTTCCTCATTATCTGTACAATGCTGTGAGCTACTGATCGTGAAGTTTTATAGCACAATAATCACTAAAGGTGAAAATAGTTTCAAAAAGTCTAGGTGTCTGTCCATCCCCATTTCCCCCCCCCCCCCCCCTTTTTTTTTTTTCAGGGCTATTAAACTATCTATCTATTAAATGAAGTTTTGAAAATTTAAGTATTTATTAATTTTGTTCCGACTGTTGAAGGAGAAAATACACGGATTTGAAGACAGAAGAGAGTGTGTGTGCTTATAACTGGCACCCTATACAGGTTTTTGGGGGTATCTTTCAACTCTCACCTGCTGTTTGTAATAATCACATCTGTGCATAAGATTTTAAAAAGACTTCTAACAGCGGTGCTTGCCCCGAATTGCCAGTTATGAATTTCAAACAGGTGTAAGTTTCAAACAGAAATACACATCTTGGTGTATTTTGGTGAGAGCAGTTGTGCTTTGGTACGGACTCTTGTCAGTCATGGGTTGTGGTACCAAGTATTCTCTCCGTAGAGCACATTATTGTCCGCTGATCTGAAATAGTCACATTCTGCTCCTTTTTTATGCTACCTCTTTTTAAGACTTTGGACTTCAAATCCAAAAGTAATTCCAGAAAAATATTACTGTAATAAATGAAAACTTGAGTGGTAGGCATGCTCCTTTTTAAAAGAACCTTTTTCTCAGTAGTGCAGCGTGGTGTTGAATGGACTTTCTGACACTCTGCATTTTATGGTAAGTTTGAGGTTAAACGTAAGAGGATGAACCATCCACTACTGATTCTCCTGAATTCTGCTAACTGTTCTCATAATTTAGATTCTATGGGTAATAATTCAAGGCTAACAGAAAATTTAGCATGATTCATATCGGAGATATTTTATTGTGTGAATTTGTTGTCTTCTAGTATTAGGAATACTTTAAACCAGAAACAAATATTGCACATTTTCAAGAAAATAAATTTCAACCTATTTTAGCTTTAGCTTTTCAGTTTGAGGAATTTTACTTTTAAAAAAAAGTCCCCACAGTTTGCTACAAATAACAGATTCTGATTCATAAACCAAAGCAAATCATAAATGTTTCCGTGGGAAGTGTAATGAAAGTGCTTTTTTCTGTATTCCACTGCAACAGTTATCACTGTTCTCTCTCTTGGAAATACTTTGTTAGCATTTCTTTAAGGTCGTCTAAATCCACAATGTTTACGAACACGTGGGAATCACTGTCTAAGGGAGAGGTTCCATTCCTTTTCTACCTGTTTGTGCAGCAGTATAATATGCAGAGTTGACATGAGACATTATATTGTTGCACATAAACAGCACTAGAAGAGTGTTTCTTCAAAAGCTTTTGCAGGACAGTTGTTCTAATGCCACTTCTGTCCTTGTTTTGCATTAAAACTATGTGCAAAATTTACTGTTAAAGACCATGCTTTGTACAGCACTGAATAACTTCAACTTTTATCTTAAAGGGAGCAGAGAGCTCTTGGATGAGTTGTAAAATGAAACCCACATTTTTTTCCCCTTAAATTTGCAGCTGATTCTTATTATAAACCAGGTGAAAATCAAATCTTCACAGCCTTGTTCGCAGAAAAATTTCTTAATCTCCTTGACTAGTTATTATTTTGTATTTTAATATTAATCATTATTGGGTTTACTTTGGAATTTCATCTACAAAATCACCAAATATTGGCTCTGCAAAAATTAATTCCTTTATTTTTTCTTTGATCTCATTTGAAAAATTATTTTAATTAGCACCACAGCTCTGTTTTAATGAGCTAGTCTGGAAATTCAGGATCTGACTTTCTGAAAGTGAAAGAAAACATCTAAGAGCTAACCAAGATTATCTGCTAATAATGACTAGTTGTTTCCTGTCATAAAACAGGATTATATGCGTACTTTAGAGAGTGAATTAACCCTGAAAAAAGAAATGAAGTCTCTGTGAGTGCTAACATATTTTTTCTGAGAGACAAGGAAATTATAACTCAGCACATTCTTTCACTTCCTCAGTCTTGGATTCCTTTTAACTTCAGGTTTTTTAAAGAAAAGCAACAGTAATTCATTTGTGGTTAGCTGCCGTGCTGCGTGGTCTAATAGTTCACAGACTTTAGTGGCAGAAAGAGAACAATTTATTTTTAAAATTAAGACATCGAGTATAAGTATGGCTTAAATTCTAGAAACTTTGTTCCTCGATCAGTGACAAAACCCAAAATTGTTTCTGTGCGTGTATCCTTTATGTGGTGACATTAATGCGTTAACTGAATAATCCACTTCCCCTGACTCAGAAGAATTTTTTTTTTTTTTTAATGTAGAAACTGTCTTCAGGTTTGAAAGCAAAGTGTTGGGGCTCAGTTCTTGCTCCTAATCTCTCTCTACGTCTTGTTTTTGAGCAGGTCAGTGAGACAGCTCTATTTGCTACCTCTGTCCTCCATTTGAGTTTCATTTCAAAAACCTGTCTAGAGTGTCAAAGCAGTGGCTGGCTGTGTGAAACATTGCAGGCTACCAAGTTCCAAATTCCTTAATTTTGAGCAAACAGACTATTAAAGTATATTGAGAAAACAGTGCTACATATTGACCCATAAAAACTAAATCCCAATCTTCGTGACAAAAAATAAAGGAAACTCTATTCATGCAAGGATTATTTGGGGGCTATTTAAGATAAGAAAATGCTAATACCCAACCCTTGTACTTAATAAGTATTATAAAAATTTTCTATTAATTATACAAATCCTGAAAAAATATGGTTAACAGCTCGATTTTAATTAGATCTGGTTGGGAATGAAACTGTAGAGATTATTGCTCTCCCGTATGGGGCAGGGGCATGGGGGAAAGCAATTAGGACTGTATGGATTGCACAAAAGCTAGACAGGTTCACCTGCATTGACTCTAGTGGTAAAACTTACCTCTGGGAAAAAATGAGGGAGAGGGACAAGGACAGGAGAAGTTAATTTCAGTTAATTGGAACCAAGAGCTTTAAGGCTGTGGTAAATGTAAATGCTTTTTCTCTTGAGTTTGAGATAGCTGGTAGCTTCTGTTAGCAGTTCTTTTCTGTACCCCCAGCATAAGCACAACCTAAGTTTATTCAAATGTTTCAGTATTAATCAGATACTAAATCTCACTGACAGTTCATATCATTTTCTGAACATGGAAATATATTTGAAGAGTGTGATACTCCAGGCCTCACATTGCAGCTCAGTTGGTTTCTCAATCACAGGACAGTCTGACTAAGCGGGTGAAATTGTGTGTTTGTGTATCTGTTCACAAGCTGTAGTTAACTGCCTCCCTAGAATCACTGTGTTAATGCCTACTGTGATGTCTGCTTGTATCTTAATGCTACACTGAGAAAACCTGTTTGAATGTGACATTGACTTTTTTGCATAGAATCAGAATTGTCTGTATTAAAATGTATTTATAAAAAAATATATTTTTTGTGGAAGGAAAGTAGGATTCTAGTTAATATACCATTGGGAAAATGTTAGAAACATTTTTACCAAGTTCATTTATAATTCTTTGTATCTTGTTAGTTACCTATTTGTTTCCTATAAGAACATCCACTGTGGCCCATTTAGTGGCAATGCAATGCACTGTCATGCAGAGAATCTGGTTTTCAGAAAACTGGGAGTCTTGTTTCCTTTTGGGACAGTAGGAAACGGAGTAGGTTGCCAGGAGAAAAAGGAACCTTGGCACCAAATCCACTTCTGTGGCTTTGGCTTTGGTAACTAGTCTGTTTACTTGTTTGCAGATAGATAAGTAGTGAGAGCAAAGATTGAGACTTCAGGATAAAGAAAATTAGATGCTACAATTTAGTCTTCCTGTAGGAGGAGGAGAGTACTAAAATTAATTTATACAAGGACTAAATAGGGAGTACACTTGCTTAAAATTATTTAATATTGGCAACTTGGTTGTAAATGTGCATACTAGGGAATATGCTCAACTTTTTCCATTACCTCGGAAAATGGTTAAAAACCATGTCACTTTCATTAGCAAGTGTTTCTTCTCCTGTAACAAATTGCAAAATGTAAAAAATAAAACTAAATAAATTATTGATCCTAGAAATGGGGCTGATTGTCTATTTTATTTGTTGACATTAGCACACAAAACCCAATTAATTTTTCATTTCAGATGTCTTCCATCAATATTTGAGCTCCAGTTTTGTGCAATTTTATGGAACTAGCTTCACTTTCTGATGATTATGAACTAAGCAATGCACATGTAAAAGCACTTCAGTGGTTTGCGTATTTATAAGAGTAAAACGATTAAATTGAAAGTGTTTGAAATGGATTCAGCTTTCCGATTGGTGAAAATATCTTGGGGCATAATTAAAATAAATTATTTTCAAAGTGCATTAACAGAACTTAGTTGTTCCACAGATCGCAGTTATGCACCAGGTTGTGCTTTTGAAGAATCTGCTGGCTGCACTGTGGAGGACCAAGTTTGGAAATTAATATGATACCTGCAATTGCTGTCTCTGCCATATTGACTAGAACTGAAACATCTGCTCAGGCTGAAGTGAGCTGTATCGGGGTGATTCCATCTTCATGTTTTTGATATTTTGGTCAAAAATTCCTGGGAATATCTCCATATTTCTCTGTGAAGCAGAACAACTTACTCTCAGAGGAAAAGAAGTATAATGTTTTTGTTTGAAAATATCTGCTGGAACTCATTTTGATTCCTCAGAATTACTGGGGGCGCCTTAGTATCCAGCAGAACAATTATTGTGTACTGGAACTTGCAGAAGAAATGTATTAATACAAGGCTTTAACTTCTGGACTATTACTTGGAGCTGCATGAAATGCCTGCACTGAGTTCTGCAATAAGGTGATGACCTGAGCACAGGTTTGTAACATGACTATTGTTCAGCTATCACTCACTTGAAATCTGCAAGGAAGATATATGCAAGGTGTGACATCACTTCTCTTACAGGCTCTTCTAAATCAGAGGGTAGTTTCTGGTTTTGCCTGTATGGGTTCTCTGTGGTTAGATGATGGTTAGGTCTCCTGATTAAGCCTACTCTTTGAATTACCTGAACAACTGGAAGCAAGAGGTCTATTTTCTTAGAATTCTTGAAAGGATTAGATGCTGATTTCACTGAGTATCTAAAGAGAAGAGATAGCAAAACTAGTACTGATAACTCCAAGGCAGGTTAAACAGTGTCTCTGATTTTGATGCTCAGGTATAATTACCTGGACTGGTTGAAACTTTTGAGGTTGAAGAAAACCTTTAAAGAAGAAAACTTTTAAAAAAGAAAACCCCAAATTTTATTCAAGAGAAAATTTCCCAGCGTAAAATGTCTGCCAAAAATATACTGCATTACCAATTATTTTTAATTTTTTTTTCCTTAGCTGATATATCAGCCTCATTTATTAATAAATATGCCTAATCTTCCTGGAGATGTTCTGCACCTCTCCTCAGATTCTTATATTTTATGGCATTTGTCAGCTGGTTAGGTATTGTGGCAAATCGTGCCATGTTCGCACCATGCTTCTAATTCTTTTGTCATTGTTCAAGGGCATTCATCTATCTGTGACTCCCATTCCCTTAACATTTCTTAACTGTAGTAAGAACAATTCTCAGTGACACACTATTCCAGGTTTCCTAATTTATACCTTTAAGACAATGCATCTTATTTCAAAAGAAAATGTTAGAGATTACAGAAGTCTATCATTGCATGCTAGGGTAAAACAAAGGTATTTATTCTACCTATTTAAGTCCACAAAAAGTAGTAATTGCTTTAAGGAGATTTTTTTTTCCGTAACCAATGTTGGTACAACAACTTAAAATAGGAGGTGAAATCATGCTGGATAATGCATTTTAATTAAAACTACAAAGAGAATTTAGGTAGGCAGAGCATAACTGCAGTTGGATGATTCCCAGCCATTATTTTGAAAACTGGCATGGGACCTGAAATAACAAAGGCTTGTTTTATTTAATAATAATTTAATTATTCTAGTAGAGGGTGTAAACCATGTTAACGAAGCTTGCATATGAAAGTAATTTGTAGCAAGAAATAAAAACAGGCAGGGAAGTTACAAACAGCAATACAGAAAGCACAATGAAATTTATAGTATGAAAGGAAGTTAGCACATACGGGAGAGAAGTTTAAACACTTTCAGTTCTTCCTTTCCTACTGAATGACAGAATGAATCAGAAGAGGGGAATAGCAAACTTGATGTTTTATAATCTTTATAGTTTAGCTATAAAGAGTAAAAAATTGTTCCAGGTGACAAATTATTGGAATATGCTGGTTTTATCATATTTACTAGAACAGTGATGCACACAATTGCACTTCTTGTACTTGCTTGTCTTCCCATAAAATACCCAATTGTTCTATTTATGTATCACTTGCTAGTCCTGTGTATGCTGTAAAGTGTATTTCCTTGTGCATGCAGCCAAGCAAAGAAAAGGGTGTACAAAGCATCCTTTGAGCACGTGTATGCGGGCCCTATTCCAGCTGTGAAAGGTATACTTCACTACATGCACCAGACCTGAAAGCTAGAAATATCTAGAACCTAATTTAGGAAAAAAAAAAACCACCAAAACTCAAACCCCAAACCATTTTCTTTACGAATGATGTTGTGAAAGGCATGGCATACCACAGTTATGCGAATGTTACTCTGTTTACTGGCATTCAGCTAGTTTTGAAAATCATGTTTTTATTTCCCAAATGCATACCTTACCTCCCATTCATATAATTAAGTGTCTAATTAAACCTGCTGACTGCTTTGATGTCTGTATAGTTTCATAAGTCAGGAGAACAGAGGGTACACTATGTGCCCTAAAATTAAATTGTGCACAGAGACCTGATTATAATTTCAGAGGAAATAAAACTTTCTGCCCCAGGTCTCTTTAGCACCAAGATGTCATGTACCTTTTAAAGACATTTGCCCACTGGAGTCCATCAGCTGGCATTTGTCATAAACTAAATTTGAAATATCAGTCCAGAAGTGTTCTTTGCAGCTGACAAATGCATGCACACGCTTCCTGTGGCTATCTGGCAAGAGACGCTGGCAGGAAACATGAGCACAAGTGTCACCACTTAGATAACTTTAAAGACTATTATTTCAGCTAACATTTACATTTCTGTAAGATAAACCAAGAAAGATAATTTCCAGCCAAAGAAAAAACCTTGCACTAAAAGCATTGCAGTTTATCTCCTTGGATTAAGTAGATATTTGGTACAAAATATTTTATCATGGGTTTTGTGGTTTGTTGGTTTTTTGGGTTTTTTTTGATGTTCTAAAGTCATGGAGTTAAAGGCAAGTATAATAAATGCCTTAAGTAATCATTCAAGCCTGGTGCCTCAGACAGGCACAAACATGCTGGGCTTATTCATGTGGTTGAAATTAAGTTCTTCAGTAGCTGCCTGATGAGCGAGATCTTCAGTCCTTTGTTCATCTAAATAATGTAAATTCCCTTTTCTAGCTTTTTTGTTTGGTTTGGGTTTTTTTTTTGTTATTACTGATTTGCTTCTACCCGAGAGCTCGGTGCGTAGCCACTTGCAGCCGCTCGCTTTAACAGCACAGATCTTCCGGGCAGCCGCCTCCCCGGAGGCTTCGGGAGAGGAAAAGCGCAGCCCGTAGGAAACGCTGGCAGAGCCACACCTGCTTTGTTTTTACCCGATGACTCATCCCCGCCCGCTGCCAGGCCTTTCACCTTTACTTTCGGCGCACCGAACGCGCCCTTCCCGGCACCACACGACGCGGCCTCTCCTCGCCAGGGCCCGCGCCGACGACGTGAGGCAGCAAACCCCC